CATATGCCACACCCCCTGACATCACCGGAAGTGTGTCATAAGGCCACACACCCCACCCCCAATGGTCCCGGCCGCCCCCGCCAGCCTTGCTGCTCCACTGCCGAGCCCCATGAGGGGCCCGGCGGTGGACCTGCAAGGCCGGCAGGAGTGCAAGGAAGCCCCGCGAAGGCCCTCCCTGGCCCCAGGCAGGCAGGGGTGGGGAGAGGCAGGGAGGAAGCAACTTACCCTCCCTCTTCTCCTGCCTCCTCCTGGCTGAATGAAGGCCGGAAGCGGGGCGGCCGGAAGCAGGGGGCGGGGCTTCGTCATGTGCCCTGCCCCCATACCTCACCCGGGGGAACTGTGATCCCCCACGATCCCCCCCCGAAATGACCTCTGCTTGGCAGGCATCAGGAAAGGAGCTGGTGGGCATCACAGAATCTTTGAAATGTTTGGTGAGTGCTCCGTTAAAGAATCCGCAGAGACCCCCAAGACCACAACTGAGCCCAGGACAAAAGTCAGCAGTTCAGCTGCCAAATGGATTTCAAATTTCCCCTTGCCCGGGCAACTGTGAGCGGGGGCAGAACCCCACCCACCCACCTTCCTGCTGGCATGCTGTTTTGAGTAATAATTTAGCACTTAAAGCACTGACACTTGGTGTCGCTCAAAACAGCAGGTTCCCAGTCCACAGGGCAGCAGAGAAAACTGTTCATGGTTTTAGGACCGAGAGAAATGCCAGCAGGCGAGACCTCCGGGCGGCCTGGCTTCGTGTGACCCGTCGGGCTGGAGGAGAAGCCAAGGGGAAGACAAAAAAGTATACCGAGAAAGTAAGTAAGTGGGATTCATTTGCACGTTTACGCAGCTCTTTCGCCCAACTTTTCCTTGGCTCTGGAATTTCATTCAGCATGAAATTCCTTCAAAACAAGAACTGCGAGTTCCGGAACACAGAACTCGGGAGACCCAGAAATACCTTTTCATGTACATGTTAGTCTCCAGAAGAGAATGAATCATCCTGTTGTTGTTCCGTCGCACAGTCGAGTCCGACTCTTCGCGACCCCATGATGGGCCACGTCACGCAGGCCCTCCTGTCTTCCGTCCGGAGTTTGCTCACCTTCATGTCCGTTGCCTCGATAACACTGTCTGGCCATCTCATCCTCTGCCGTCGCCGTCTTCTCTGACCTTCAGTCTTTCCCAGCATCAGGGTCTCCTTCTCCAGTGAGGGCTCCCTCCCTTCTCATTGGGTGGCCAAAGTATTTGGGCTTCAGTTTCAGTCTCTGGCCTTTCAGGGTACCGTCAGGGTTGATGTCTTTTAGGACTGACTGATTCGATCTCCCTGCAGTCCGAGGGACTCTCAAGAGTCTTCTCCAGCACCATACTTTGAAAGCATCTCTTCTTCGGCGCTCGGCCTTCCTTATGGTCCAGCTCGTGCAGCCATACATGACTACTGGGAATACCATCGCTTTGACCAGACGGACTTTTGTTGGCAGGGTGATGCCTCTACTTTTTATTATGCTTCCTGTACCAATCTGCTAAAATCATCTACCCTTCCCAACCAAGGAGGCTCCAGAGAGGCAGGCAGATGCTCCATCGAACCCGTTTTATCCCCCACCCACCCCTTCTTCCCAGGATGGCCTGCCCATGCGCCCCTTGGCCATGTGATACTTCAAACAAACTTCCAAAGTAGGTCAGACTGAGGGGGCCTCACCCAGGATGCTTCATGTGCGGGAAGTGGAACCCAAGTCATTGTCTGATGGGGACCACTCTAGCGTACTATCACCAGAGAGCCAGTGTGGTGTAGTCAGGGATCATTTCCTGCGGGAGCGCACAGGACCGGAGCTCCGGCAATAAGGAGCCCAGGGGGTGGGGACATGCAACAAGCCCCGCCCCCTGCTCCCAGCAGCCCTCAGTTGGGCCACGAGGAGCAAGAAGCAGCCAGGTAAGTTGCAGAGCCCCTCCCCCCCAGCTCGCCTTCAGGTACAAGCTCTCCCTCCGCTGTGAGGGCAGATCTGTGCATCCCCTCCCATAGCTAGCAATCCAAAAGAGTCCAGTGGCACCTTTAAGACCAAGGTTTATTCAGGTACAAGCTCTCCCTCCTCTGTGAGGACAGATCTGCACGTTCCCCCCCCCCAATAGCTAGCAATCCAAAACAGTCCAGTGGAGCCTGAGCGGTGGGTGTTGCCTTCTGACACACTGCTGGTGATGTCAGGGGGTGTGTCAGATGCAAATGAGTTGTGCTAGTGAGCTCCTGCACCTCTTTTTCTACAAAATGACCCCTGGGTGTAGTGCTTACAGAGTTGGACTACGATCTCGGAGACTCCAGGTTTGACTCTCCTCACTCCGCCTTGGAAACTCACTGGGTGACCTGGTGCCAGTCAAATACTCAGCCTCACTTACCTCACGGGTTTTTTTTGTGAGGATAAAATGGAGGAGAGAAGTGAAGGAGTCACGCGGGACACGATCTTTGAGGGTAGAAGCACCTGTCTGCCCTTTGAGGCAGCGGGAGTTTATTTTATGCACTCTGCTCTCAACGTAAGATGAGGCTGGGGTTGACACAATACGTGAAACAAAGGAGAACCAGATGCTCAAGGCAGAATGCCTGGAATGTCTGCATAGCATAATTACCAGTGATAACAAGCTACTCCTGACGCCTAAGATGCCTGCATGGACAAGATGGGCAAAGGTCAGAATAAGTGATGGAGTCGCTGATCTACCTTATGTTAACAGAGGCAGGATGTAGTGGGATCAAGATTGGTGTGCCATATCGTTAATCCTCCCTACATCGAAGGAAGAGGTAAGATTCTTTGGGTGCGTTCAGACGGGGCGTTTCTGCTGGCATAAACTGTACCGGTTGGAACCGGTGCAGTTTATGCCGGCAGAAATGCGATCACACTTACCTCCCTCACAGCGAAATCCATCGCAATACGGCCGTCCACACTCGTCTTCGGTTGTTTTTTACTTAGTTTGCGCATGCGCATAGGCAGCCATCCACAGAATGGCGATCATCGCGCATGCGCAAAAAACCCTGTCGTACATTTAAACTTTAAAGGTAAGGACTTACCTTTAAAGTTTAAAGAGCACAGTAGCCTCCCGGAGGTCCCGGACGCCTCCAAAATGCTAAACTAAGGCCCTTTTCTTTTTTATATACAAACGGCAGGGCAAAGCTTCGCCCAAGCGCATATCGCCGTCCTTTAAAAAAAATGGCGGGCGAAAATCGGAAGCCTCAGGCTTCCGAACGGAAGTAGCTGTGCAACGGTGGAGAGCGATCAGACGGCGAGGTACAGCGTTTACAACCATTGCACTCAGGATACCACCACTTGGGGACCTAGTGGCAGAGTGCAATGGTGTAAAGGGCTTTACACCGGTTAGGGACAGGAGGCAGATGTTCCCCATCTGAACGCCAGTGAGTACAACGATTGCAACCGGCACCTATACCAATGTAAAGCCCCCGTCTGAACACACCCTTTGGGTGCCCATGGGGAAAAGCAAGGTATGAAGTTCTAGGCCCCACACCCGCTCAGGGACAGGGCAAAGGGTTTTCTGGCACAGTGTCACTGGGAACCAATGCTCCCTCTAAGCTGTGGGGTCTTGTGAGCAAAAATTCCACTTTGTGAGCTGCTGGCATTACAGTTGTGAGCGAGCGATTTGGCTGCTGCATAAATCGGTTTGCTCTGGAGCCCTCCTTCCTGAGCTAAGACGAAAAGGTGTGAGCCGGAGGCTAAGGAACTGTGAGCTGGCTCACACTAACTCAGCTTGGAGGGAACACTGTGTGGGAACCAGTAAGAACTTTACCCCATCCTTGCTCCGTGCAGAAGAGGCCAGGCCGCAGTGCCCAGTTCCTGAACCCCGAGGCAAAAATTCCCAGCCCAGCTGCTGGATTGGTCCACGGCCACTGCTTTCTTTCCCTGCAATCCCTCTCCCAGAAACTTGTCAGAAACGTTAGGGAAAACATTTTTCAACTTTATTTAATATAAAAAGGAGTTTTCGGGTGGGGGATGCTACAAGAAAACTCTGAATACAAAAAATAGAAAGCAGAAACTGAAGGGGGGGGAGGTATAAAAAAGTGGTATAACGGTTTGGGGGGGGGGACCACAGGAAATCCCTGCTTTATTGGATGCCGGGAAGGGGGTGGGGGGAGATGCACTAGGGGAGAGTTGTTATAAATGGAGGGAGGGGTGGCCTCAGGAACCAGCCTGGAGTACCCCTACTCTCCAAACACTCATGTAAGCCTCCCAAAGCACGACCGGGGATTGCAGGATGGTTTTTGCCCCAAAGAAGCTGTAGGAATCTAAAAACACTGACCCCTAATAGACAGGATGGGTGTGTGAAACATCCTGCTGTGTTTTTATGGCTTAAGAACCTAGAAGGTTAAATGAATCCAAATTAAAGGGCCCAATATTTAAATGACTGAATATAAGATGTAGATAGATCCATGTGGGTAGCTCTGTCGGTCTCAAGCAGCAGAGCGAAGTTTGAGTTCAGTGGCACCTTTGAGACCAGCAAAGTTTAATCCCAGGTAAAAGCTTTCAAGTGCAAACACACTTCATCAGACACACTGAAAAAGAATTTCCTCAGCCATTACATACAGAAAGAGGGGAGGTCGGGGGTTTAATTGTCAGGAATGGCCAATTAGAGTCAAGACAGAGACAGAAACAAAATTGGAAATCACCAGTCCCTACGTATAGGTAAAGGGTGAACACTAAATTCTCATATAATGAAGATGTTTAACAGATTCAAGGGTCAAGTAGGAATAATAAGCTTAGTTTGTCTGGTAACCATTTGTTTGGGTTTGATTCTGGGGCAGAAACAGTCAAGGAAATAAATATGTCAAAACTGGAGATTGATGTATCCTTAATTGTAGAATGCCGAGAGCAATTAATTGATTACTAATTAATTGATAAACTTCAGTTTATTATTCCTGTTTGATCCTTGTATCTGTTAAACATCTTCATTATGCTCTATGATCATTTACTGCTCGCCCTCCTCCTATATGTATGGACTAGTAATTTCCAATTTTGTTTCTGTCTCTTTCTTGAGTATTGACTCCAATTGGCTCTTCCTGGCAAGTAAACCCCCCAGAGGCGTTAGCCATGTGAGTCTGTGTCTGCAAAATCGTAAAAAGCCCAGTAGCACCTTTAAGACTAATAAAACTTTACTGTGTCTGTAGCATAAGCTTTAGGGAAATACAGCTCTCTTCATCAGATGCATGCACCTGTGTTTCTCAAAAGCTTATGCTACATTAAAGTTTGTTAAGTCTTAGTGCTACTGGGCTTTATGTATTTTTGTATCTCTGATAAATATCTACGTCTTACATTCAGTTACTTAAATACTGGGCCCTTTTCATTTGGGTTCATTTAACCTTCTAGGTCCTTAACTTATTTCTTTGGGTTACGTTTTCTCCCTCCCTCTTTTTGTCCCTTTTAGCGTTTTCACAGCCAGACGAGGGCCAGACGCCCCCTCCCCCTGGACCCCCACAGAAGGAAGCCAAGCGGGACAGAGCAAGCATGCTTCCGCAAGCGCAAGCAGAGCACAACATTCAAAACCCTGGCTGGGATCCAGCCAGTACAGGAGCAGAAATGCCGATGGCCTTAGCAGCGCAGTCACGCTTTGCACACGATCTCGACAAACACAAAGTGTTCCCCTTCCCTCCCTAGACGTTACGCTGTCCAGAAATTTGCTGCACGAGATCCGACGCAAACAGAAACGCAAGTGTGTGTGTGTGTGGGGGGGGATACAGTACTTCTGACTTAGCACAACCAGCGACCACTGTCTTTTCTCCCCCCCCCCCTTGCGTTTCAGCTTGGAGGGAGGAGAAAGTGTTGCCCTTTGCACAGGTCGCTTAAAACTTTAAATCAGCAAAGAAGGCGAAACGAGACCCCAAAGGGATGGACTATGAAGAAGCTGGTGGAGTGGGGTGGGGTGGGGTGGCTCCCTTCGAGGTCAGTCCCCCTCTCCCTAGAAGAAGCACCAGGCCGGCTTGCTTCGGAGCTGGAGGAGGTCACAGTTTTGGAAGGGGATTTCTCTTCTGCCTTCCAGCTGAGGATACGGGTTGGCTTTCAACCGCTGGGGGGGAGGTCTATTCAGGTGCTCCTTTTCCCCCTGGGGGGTGCTCTGGAGGGCCATGGAGTGGGGGGGGGGAAGAAGGCAGAAGAAACAGGATGCTGGATCCAATGGACCCTCAGTCTGAGCAGGAGAGGGGAAATTGCCCCCCTGGGCCCTCCCCGTCACCCCCTCCTTCCAGCCCTAAAAGGGGGGGGGAGGCAGGGGAAGCAGAGACACCCTCACGGCAGGATCGGGGCCGAGCGGCAGTGCCTTGTCAGTTGGCAGGACGGTGGCAGCCCGAGATATTGCAACACTGACCCCCGGGAGAAGGGGGCCCCTCCCACGGGCACTGTCAGGGAAGCGGGGAGTAGCCAAGGGGGGCGGCGGAGAACGCCACCCACCCCACCCCCAGGCAATCCCGGCAGCACAAGCAACGGATCTAGCTGGAGCAGCAGAGGCCAGCAGGGACTTTTTGCAGGGGACAGGGAATGCCCTTCTTTTGGAGAGAGCTGGGGAGGGTCTCCCCCGGGGTCTAGAAAGAGGGGCCGTAAAGCGGGGTGGGGGGGGAACGAAGGGTTGAGCAGGGAGAGCCGGTCTAACTGGAGCCCCCCGCCTCGTCCTTCAGCAGCAGCTTCTTCCCACTGCCCGGCGGGGGCGCCGCACTCCGCTTGCGGGTCTTCTGTGGGCTGGACAGAAAAAGACAGAGCAAGAGACGGCCATTGGGGGGAAGGAGAAGGAGAAGAAGAGGAGGAGGGGGAGGAGATTGGATTTGTACCCCGCCCTTCACTACCCAAAGGAGTCTCAGAGCGGCTAAACAAACTCCTTTCCCTTCCCCTCCCCACAGCAGACACCCCGTGAGGTCGGCGGGGCTGAGAGAGCTCTCTGGAGACCAGCCCTTGAGAGAACAGCTCTGAGAGAGCTTGTGACGGACCCAAGGTCACACCAGCAGCTGCATGTGGAGGAGTGGGGAATCAAACCCGGTCCTCCCAGATTAGAGTCCGCGCACTTCACCACGACACCACACTGGCTGAGGCAGATGCGGGACTCGAGGCAGCAAGCCCAGCTGTGTCCTGCCAGAGTAAAGAAAAGCCCTCCCCGGTAGAGGGCGGAGCAGACCTGCTTGGGTCCTTCCACCAGAGTTGCTCCCCTGGCCCCACCCACACAGGCTTCTCGATGTGAGGGGGAGGGGCCTTTGATTTGGCACCTCCCTGCCGCGACAAAGGGAAACCGGGTTCTTTGCTCACCCATTCCTCAGTTTGAGCACCTCCTGTGCGTCTGTGACCTCCAGCACATCTGTGACCTCCAGCGCATCGTTGATCTTCTTCAACATGAGATACCGATCCCGTCCCCTGATCTAGGACAGAAGAGGGGAGAAAACACGCTGGGGAGGGAACCCTGGTCCACCTTTGGCCTCCTATTCCCGCTGGGGCCACAGACATTTGGGGAGTCCTTCAAGCCCCACCCCAAAGGGACCAAAGGATTCCAGCAGACAGAAGAAGACGACGACGAAGAAGAAGAAAAAGAACATGAGAAGAGATTGGATTTATCCCCCATGGCCCTTCACTACCCAAAGGAGTCTCAGAGCGGCTCACAATTTCCTTTCCCTTCCCCTCCCCACAACAGACGCCCTGTGAGGTTGGTGGGGGCTGAGAGAGCTCTTGACAGAACTGTCCTTGAGAAAAAGCCCCCCCCCCCTTTCCCCTCCCCGCCTGGCACCCGAAGTTCTCGCCTGACCTCTCGCCCTTCCTGCAAGCCCCCCCCACTCTCCCAAGCGCGCGCGCAAGACTTTAATTGCCAGCCAGAAAGGCAGCCGCTGGCCCTCAAAGGGGAAGCAGACGCAATCGCCTCACCTTGAGGGTGTAAACGTCTTCTCTGTTGTTGGAGGTCCCGGGACTGTGCTTCTTCTCGGGTCCGTTCTCCGCCGGAGCCCCTCCTGGAGAAAGAACCCAGAGCAGCGCCTTGCTGGATCCAGCCCACAGAGTCCCCCCCCCCCCCGAACCCCCCAAAAAAATCAGGGAAAGGGTTACCAACCCCCTCCTCTCGGCTAGGCTCTCTCGAGCCCCACCCCACGCCTCTCGCCTTGCCCCCCCTTTCTTAAGCCCCCCCCCGGCCCTTTTCGCCAAGCCCTGCTCAGCCTGGGCCCCCCAGACCCACATCCCAGCGCCCCCCCGCTCCAAGTCTTACCCTTTTTGGACCGTTCGCCACGAGCAGCTTTACGGAAGTTCTCTTCCTCCGACTTGAGGTCCCGGCCAGGGCAGGCGCAGACCCGTACTTCGAAGCAGCGGCGGCCGAGCAGCTGCCCTCTGTGGTTGTCAGAGACAGGGGGGGTGCAGAGATGGGGGCGGTCCTTAACAGGCTGTAGAATGGATAAACCACGGGCCCCTCCCCCAAAAGGCCTGGCCCAGTCAGGACACGGACGAGCCACGGCACTAGGTGGGACTCGGGATCCTCTTATCGAGGCCACGGGGGTCTCCTCGCCAGCAACCCCGCCGGGGTGGACAGCGCCCCCCCTCCGTGGAGCCCCTGTGTGAACAGCCTCTCCCATGGGACGTTACTTATTAAAGCGTTTATACCCCACCTTTCCTTCACGGCAGCTTGCATGAAGAGTTTAAACCATCTAAATAAAACGGCTACAACCAAAAATAAAAGAGCAGAGCCCAAATCTCCCCCCCCACCACCACTTAAAAGACGGCTGTAATTCACACCCCCTCAAAGGCCCTGGCATACAGATCGGCCTTGCAGCCCCTCCTGAAGATCTCCAAAGAGGGAACCCCCCTCCCCTCTTCAGTGAGTCCCCCCCACAGAGCGGGAGCCACGACGGAAAACGCCCTGACTGTGGTGGTGGTTGTAGTGAAGAAGAAGAGGAGGAGGAGGAGGAGGAGATTGGAGGGAATTAGATGAGCATCTGGAGCAGAGGTCCATCAGTGACTCTTAGCCACAAGGTATAGATAGGGACTCTGGGGCAAGTGATGCTCTGTAATCTTGGTGCTTGGGGGGGGCAACAGTGGGAGGGCTTCTAGTGTCCTCCTGGCTCCACTGCTGGACCTCCTGATGGCCCCTAGTATTTTTGGCCACTGTCCGACACGAGACTGTTGGACTGGATGGGCCATTGGCCTGATCCAACACTGACTTCTCTTATGTTTCTTTTGATTTATACCCTGCCGTTCACTCGGAGTGGCTTACAATTTCCTTTCCCCTCCCCTCCCCTCCCCACAACAGACACCCTGTGGGGTGGGTGGGGCTGAGAGAGCTCTGACAGAAACTGCTATTTTTTCAAGAACAGCTCTTATCAGAACTATGGCTTGCCCAAGGTCATCCAGCCAGGACGAAGTGGAGGAGTGGGGAATCAAACCCGGTTCTCCCAGATTAGAGTCCGCGTACTTCACCACTACACCAAACTGGCCGGACACCCCCCCCCCTCGAATGGTGAGAGAGCCCGCAGATGGCTACCTGATGACTGTAGCTGGCGCCCAGGGCATGGGGAAGGAGATGGCCCTTTAAATATGTGGGTCTGAGGTTGTGAGGGGCTTTAAAGGCCATAGCCAGCACCTTGACGTGAACCCGGAAACAGACTGGCAACCAATGCGGCTGTTTCAAAACGGGCAACCTCTGTTCCCAGCAGCTAGCCCCGGAGAACTCTCGGGCTGCCTTGTAGTTTTGGGGCTGTCTTCAAGGGCAGCCCCACGTGAAACGTGCTGCAGTAATCCAACTCCGCACTCTTGAAACCGGGGTGCTCCCGAGAGGCCAGGAGAGTGCCACGTCCCCTGGGGAGCGCATTTGACGTTGCCAGGGTCAAACTCCTGGCACACCTCCGTGAAACCCGTTCTGGGCTTGTGCCACTAAAGCATCGCCAGGTGCAAACGCTGACCACCTGCCATAAGCAGAGCTCAGAATTCCTGCCAAGCGTTTGCCCCACCCCCGGCCCACCCATTTCCTCCCCAGCAAAGGGAAGAGCCTTGCCTCCCCCCCCCCCCGGCTAAGGACACTGTCGGAGACGGGGACTCACTCTTGAGATTCCAGCGTAACGATGGTGAGGATGGGGCGCCGGTTCATGCCACCCATGCAGGAACTGTTGCACATGTAGCTGTAGAGGACGGTGCTGCACTCCGATCCCACCTGCGGGGCAAAAGGGGAGCTGAGTGGACCCGGGCACAAACGTTTCAGAAGGGTGGGAGTGCTGGTGGAAAAGGGGGCCGGCGAAAAAACCATGCCCCCCGAAGACTCCAAAGCCTCCCAGCAGCGGACACTGAGGTAGACTGCTTCTGAACAAGGAGGCTCCGTTCACCCATTCTCCATAAATTCTTCCAGCCCCCACTTAAAACTGCCTAAGCCAGCACGACCCTCCTGCGGCACTGTAGGACTGCCAAGTCCCTCCTGGAACCGGCAGGGGATGGTGGGGTACGGTGGCCAGATCTAGACTGAGAAACACCTGGAGATTTGGGGATGGAGCCTGGGGAGGACAGGGACCTCAGTGGGGCACAAGACCATACAGCCCCCCTTCCAAAGCATCCATTTCCTCCAGGGGATCTCTGTAGAGTGGAGATGAGGTCTAATTCCAGGGGATCTCCAGGTCCCGCCTGGAGGCTGGCATCCCCATGTGGCAGGGAGGTCCTCAAGTTAAGCACACGAGGGGCAACTGTGCCTCCCTGGTGGGAGAGAGAACAGGGGGCTGAAGGAGAATCAGTGTCTGGGAATTGTTGGGAGCCCAGAAGCCGAAATCCTCGTCTCTATCCCAACTGTGAACGCAACACAGTGGACTCCGATGCTCATCCAGGCACTGACCAGACCTGGGCTGGCTGAGTGTTCCACAAGGGCCACTTCCTGGCCCTTCCAACAGCATCCCGGATCGGGGTCCCCACGTGGTACCTGCGGGAGCCAAGGTACCTGTTGCTAGGCACGTGCTTTTAGAAAGTGGGTGGGACTAGGTGGGGCTTTCCCCAGCAAGGCTTCTGATTGGCGGTGCAGATTTTCTAAAATGTTGCTCTGGCAGCGGCTGCCATCACAGCATCGGGATCTTCACTGGGTGACCGTAGGTCAGCCGCGGCAGCCATTTTGTGGCTGGGTCTGTCTCCTGAGGCAGCCCTTTTTGGGGAGCCGTTTTATCAGTGCTT